TATATATATATATATATATATATAAATATATATAATATATATATATATATACACACACACACACACACACACACGCATACAAGACGAGTTAATAAACCCGTTAGTGTAGTTTTAGTGCCACCCTGAACAAGATCCACTGAAACTAGCATGGTTTTAGACTTCTGTATCTTCATAAACAGAAGGACCTATATCCTTGCAGCAAATCATAAAGCAAGCTGCAGATTAATTATTTCAGGCACTGCTATTTAAATACAGTATCCAAAGCTAATTACCACAATACAGAAATCAACTAAGCAAAATTTAGAAACATTACAAAACCCAGCCAAGTTTCACTGAAGTAATGTCAAAACACATTCAGAATTTTTGTTCTTCATCAAAGTTTTCATCAGATTTATCGCTGTGAATTGTTGCTGATCAGACTACAGTGACAGTCTGAAACACAGTCCCTGTTCACATTACTGATGACTGCAGCCCAGTCAGGGTGGCTTGTTTGGTCTTACTATCTGTGGCTTCCATGCCCATGGCACCCAAGTGGGTGCTGGTGTGTTCCCACTTGCGACCCCACAGGTATTTTAACTTATGGCTCCCAGATACTGGAATTTATTTCTTTGGAGTCAATAGGTTTTCATTTGAATTTGGGACACCAGCAGTGTGAGGTAACCAGCAGTGTGTTCAGGCTGGTATCCTCCCTTAACTTTGAACTCTTGATCAGGTCGCCATTTGTTTTGTCAGTGGTAGAAGTTATTCAGGGCAATGACTTTGATCTGTGCTGGTCTTTGACCAGTTTTTAGTTTTAGACCTGTGCACAAATACTGCAGAATACACAAAATATTAAACAGCTAGCAAGAGCCACTTGTACTCAAGGTTCCATGGCTGTTTCATAATACACACAATCTTAAGTATGTGCCTACGTGCCAAGCTAAAACACACTCCTGATAATCTGGCAATATCTCACTTTTCTATAGTCTGGAGCCAAAGGAGGTGACCTGCTGACTTACCAGAGAAATTCTCCTCTGTTGCAGGTTATTGATATTTGGTTTCCATGACAGGCAATACACAGTCATGTGTCCTATGAACTCCTGCAGCTTATAAAGAAAACAAGTGCATAGCTCCATCTTGGGCTAGTCTGACCCACTTATCTGCTCACTCTGCCGAAGGGGTTAACCTGGGAGGCAGTGAGCATGCCGCTGTGCTACCTCACCTGGATGCCTGCCTCTAGTTCTCAGGCTGCCTAATAAAGCAATCCCTAACTATAGATCTCTGCATACAGCAAGCTCTCTGCACACTTCCAAAATAAACAGAACCCTGCCACTAGGTATTTTTTGTAAGAAAAAACATTGGGAAAAAAGGATGTTTCTCCTGTTAAACACTCCACACAAGAACAAATGAGGCTTTTTTTTATTCTCCTTCAAGAGTGGAGCAATTAAACAAAGGAAGAGTCACAAATTCTGATCGCTAACCAGATATAAGATGCTACGTGGGCAGCTGTATCTAGAGGAGGAAGGGCGTGACTAGAAGGCAAAAAAAGAGTAAACCAGAAGATGCTATCTGGCCCGGCATTCGAAGGCACACACATCCCTGCTCTTGTCTCCAGCACTCCAGAGTGGGAAGCCTCTGAAGTTTCTACACTGCAGATTCCTTAACAGAGACATTTTGTATAATTTTTCCGTGCTAACTCTTCACCTCAGGTTAAGGTGATTCCTGAAATAGAGTTTTGCACTTAGGCATCCCTCCTTCTTCCCGAGGCCTCAGACCAGCCTCCTTTGGCTCCTTCCTTACTTTGTCTTTTTCTCTTCCTGCATCTTTCCCCTTCTCTCCATCCTTCTGACTGGTTGTTCTGAGAGGCTTTCCTTCTATTTTTCACTCACCACTGTTTTTACTGCCAGATTCTCCGTTTCATCTTCCCATCCATAGGAAGGCTCCATGCTCCTCAGGGAAGGGAGCCTTCTCTAGTTACCTGTTCTTACTGGGCTGCCTATGTACTCCAGTCTGTTCAAGGACAGCTGGAGGAGGGTGATCAGCATTTCAGACTAACAAACAATGACCCCAGCACAAACTCATTGCACCTCAGTGCAGCATTTACAGCTGCTACAGGAAAGAACAAGGACAAGAGCAGGCTTATAAAATTTGCATGTCAAAGCAGACAGGTCGCAGAAGAGCCTCACAGACCCCTAAGACATTAGTAGTTACTCCACAATGCATGCCCAAAATACCTCAGCAGAAAGGGAAGGGGGTGGGGGTGG